AGTCACTCAAATTCCTCTCGACATCCTTCCCCGGGTCCATCTTAAAACTAAACAACTTCTCCAACAGGTATATTTTGTTAGGTAAAGTTTTAGTAAGAACAGGGCATTTAAAGTAATCCACAAAGCTCTACCAGTTTTAGCACTATCAACTTGTCTCACAATATTGTCAGATAGATGCAAAATTATATAACTGTAAGCAATTTCATTCATGTCTTCAATTTCAGTTGTTTTAGCTTTTAACTCATCAGAAAATGTAGCGGGATCATCAAGAGCTTTAGCAACTCTCTGTTGGACCAAAATGGCCCTCATTTTCTGTTTCCATATCGAGTAATCCCCCTTTTCATCGAATTGCGATAATTCGACCCTCGAACCCATTTAGATTCTATAAAAGAGTGGCCTGTACTTGTGGACACGACAAAAAAGTTTTTGAAAAAATCATTTCCAGATGATCAATATATAACTGAGTGCCGAGTTAAAAAACAATTTTTAGAAATGAAGCACAACAGTGAAAATAATCCGTTCACGAAACACAGGTATATAAAGCAGGTAAATATGCTTCCAGGTTACAAATTCAAGAATTCAATCAACAGAATTCACAAACAAGCAACCAAGCAATAACCATGCATAAACCGGTAAGGATACCAAACCTAACCTAACGGAGAGTTTGGAATAATCTTACCAAACTACTGTTGACAAACAGTAAATATACCACCAAGTTTCTGAACCAAATTGCCGTAGACGTCAAGCTAAGGGCAAAATCGTCCAACTTTTTCTGTAAAATCTGAAACAGAAAACAAACGACATCAGTGCGTTCAGGACGTCAAAATAAGTAAACTGGCCGAAAAAAGCTCGCCGGAGGTCCTGCCACGCGCCGCCACCGGAGTCCACGCGCCGCCGCCGGTCAGCGCCCCACCACAGGGTGCGCCTCCTCCTGCTGGTCATGGTTCCATGGTCCATTTCGCCGGAAAGTCAATAGGTTGGCCGGAAATCAAGTTTTCAGATTCGGTCAGAAAGTGGTAATGGTGATTTCCTTGCTGGTTTTTGATCGATTTTGGACTAATATCACTCCTCCTAGCTCTGATACCAATTTGTTGGGGATCCTAGGAGTTCAATCAACCAAAAGACCAATCAACAAACAAGATTCAAGGCAAAAAACAAAAATATAAAACCGGAAGAATACAACCCTTTTATATGGCCAGCTTCTTCTTCTTCCTTGCAGCAGCTTCTTCTTCTTCTTATGGCAGTTTTTCCAGGCTCAAGAACAGCCCCATGCTATGCAAATTGCCTTCCAAAGAGAGATAGAAAGAACCGGCAAAGAACCCCTTGAAAACCACCAACCAAGAGACCACCTTAAGGAACCAACAAAAATGGAGGAAGTTAACTGTCGAGCCACCACAGAAAACGACCAGCCTGCCTCCTTTTAAAATAACTCCCACCTAACCGAAGACACTCCCTCTTACACAAAACGTGGGGTAAGTAATATGTTAGGTAAAAAATTGATCAAAGCTTCTCCCACAAGATTAAATCTCAATCATTGATCTTCATCCAATGGTTCACAAAAATTGAATAAAGTGGGTTAAGAGAACCATATTCTCACAGATAGTTTGACACACTTTTCTTATGACCAGTAAAAAAGTACTTTACTATACCCGCATCATTCCACGATTTAGTAGGAAAATAGGTGGGAAGGAAGGATATGAACTAGGAGGTATGACATTATCTAAAGAGCGGTTTGTGATGTTCCCAGTTCATGAAAACAAATGTCAGGTGGACTCTGTTATATCATTTTATGTTAAGTCACTAGGATATAACTTATGCTTGCTGTTTTCTGTAATCTTTTATTAATTTGGGGTTGCTGTCATAGTTTATAATACACTTTGCATCAATCCAAAGCTACAAAAAAGTTTTATAAGATAAAAGAGGTCCATTGAGTGCCTCATGGCTATGTCATAATATATCCGAAAATGGCTATGTCATAATATATCCGAAAACTTTCTCATTCTAGTTATTTCCACTGATGCAACTGGGAACATGCTCATTACTTTTTTTGTTTTTACCCAAGGGACTGAGGGTGATTTAAGTTCTTGGTGCTCTAAGAAGTTGCATTATTAAAAACCAATAACTTAATTGTATTAGAAAAGATGGGTTGATCATGTGAAATATCTTATTTCTCGATAGATTTACTCAAATTTTTTTGTGTGCTTCAGAGTCAGCCAGTGGAGGAATTTTACCGTGCTCGAGGAAAGTTGCTCGAATTTGATTTGCCTGGAGGTATCCTGGAGTACTGGCCAAGGTTGCTGGAAGCACTTTGTTAGGTATTTTAGTGATGCCCAAACAACCCCCTAGGCAATGATGAAAAATCGAGACACGTTCGTTTCATAGGCTTTAAGCTCGGCATTGAAATATGTATTAAAGATCCACACCACAATTGTAGTAACCCAATTAAGTTGGGTATTTAGAGGGAATCGGCCCATTAGGGCTAGGTGCTCAATATCTAATTAAAAGATGGACTTGGTAGTTAGAGATATACATTATCCCTAACTTTTGGTAACCTACCTTATTCAAATTGATACCCATCTTTGAAGATTTTATTGGAATATCTAGGAAATTCGTTTTTCTACTTGACCTACATATAATTGACCTCTAAACCTATGTAAACACACCAACAACCCTAGAAAATAGTCCCTGTGCTTTGTGCCTTTGAAAACCTTCTTGCTTTGTGCCTTGAAGCTATTTTTCTTTGCCTTTGTGTGCCCTAATACTTGGTGTATATCTTGGACTCTGAAAATCTATTGTTGGTGTTACCTTTGTGGTGTTGGATCGAAGTTTCTGAACCTAAGAAAAGGGGGAATTATTACTTCTTTGTTCTTGCATCTATTTCTTCACTTTCTTGATTGTTTTGATTGATTCTTGTTTATTAATTGAGTTTATCACTTACTTGTTGATTTGTTCACTTGTAGGAGACATTTAATACTCACACACTTAACCTTGATGATTACGAGGACAGACGGTCTACAGCAGCATAAATTTCTATACATTGCATTGCATGCGTTTTACCACATAAAATTTTTGCAGAGAATACGATTTTTCCTTTTATAAATTTTTGTTTCGGAGAAAAAAATCATATAACCACGAAGTACACTAAGCTGTTAATTCTATGGCTGTCTTGTGCGCTTCTCTCTAATTCTTTAGAATAATTTTACACAATGCAATGCTGCAAAGGTTTATAGAGAGGATTGGCTTTTAGGCTGTCATGGGTAATAAGTCAATCACCAATGAACAATGATGTACAACTTTATGAAAATTGATTCAATTTACACATTGTGGACATAATGCCATTTTGACATTCCATGTTTCAAAACTGCTGATAATATAGGTGCTTTGTTATATAAATAAAGCAATTTGTATAATGATTGTTGACAATCCATGTGTTGTTAAGATTTGTTTGATTAATTTAAAAAATAGTTTTTAAAATGGATGGTATAGATTTTGTCAATGGAAGTTATCAATCATGAATTGTTGTATTGGTAGCATAGTTCTTGTTATATTAGACATTTGGGGTGAATTTATGGTGTAGAAAAATAGAACGTCGCAAGATCGACTTGAAGAAATTTGTAGTAGGCATATCTTGGACTTCAAAACGGTTGGCTCGAGTAAAAAATGGTACTTACTGGATTGATTTTTTTCATGTTTATCACAGATGCGAAAGTCTCATTATATTATTTATTTTGTGGAAGGTAAATTTTGGGGTGAAAAATGTTAAGAGAATAAATCTCACATCGATTAAATACCGAAATATCGATCAACTTAAATAGATTTTGGGTCACTTTTCTTAATAAGGTTTATCTTATTAAGATGAACCCCAAATTTTAACATGGTATTAAAGTCCAGTAAGTTCCAACGAGTTATTTGATCCGATTAAATCTCAAAAATGAGCATATGAATTTCAAGATTGATCTGCTCAAAAAGAGCCATCATCTTGTGGGGGCATGTTAAGAGAATAAATCCCGCATCGGTTAAATACCGAAATATTGATCAACTTAAATAGATATTGGACCACTCCTCTTAATAAGGTTGACCTTATTAAGATGGACTCCATAACATAAATAGATATTGGACCACTCCTCTTAATAAGGTTGACCTTATTAAGATGGACTCCATAACATGTATATTTCGGTATTTAACCGATGCGAGATTTACTCCCTTAACATGTCTCCGTAAAATGATGGCTCTTTTTGAGTAGACCAATCTTGAAATTCGTGTACTCATTTTTGAGACTTAATCGGATCGAATAGTTCGTTGGAGTTTATTGGGCTCTAATACCATGTTAAGATTTGGGGTCCATCTTAATAAGGTCAACCTTATTAAGAGGAGTGATCCAAAATCTATTTAAATTAGTCAATATTTCGGTATTTTCCACTTAATATGCCCCGCAAGATGGTGGCTCTTTTTGTGCAGACCAAACTTGAAATCCGTGTACTCATTTTTGAGACTTAATCGGATCGAATAGCTCTATGTTAAGGGAATAAATCCCACATCGGTTAAATACCGAAATATTGACCAACTTAAATAGATTTTGGGTCACTCCTTTTAATAAGGTTGACCTTATTAAGATGGATCCCAAATCTTGACAAGAAATACAATTTTTTTTATTATTTATTTATGATTATTATTTTTGGCATTATATGGTATATTGGGGTATGGAGAGGTGATGAAAACCGTGTAATTCTCTCATTCACTATAGTAAAAATTGTAGCAGTGAGTATATGTAACTCTCAGATTGTACATATGCAGGTTTGTTGATTATTGTTGAAATTGCTGGCAATATGTAATTTTGGTGATAACATGCATTTCATGACAAAAAGCTGGAAATTAGGTAGAAGCATACATCAAATAGTTGTAATATCGGGGCATCCTTTCCAATCCAAATATCTATAAAACATCACCTAAACAGAACACCAAACAACTGAATCACATTAACTGTAAATTTCACACACAACCCTCTGCTTTCTTGTTTGCAGCATTTCCCAGCACCACAGAGCTCTCTCTCTCTCCCGCTCGCTCGCTCTCTCTGTATATAAAAGCACAGTAAAATTCTTGCCTACTTCTCATTGCTACTCTCAAACAAAACCCCATGCTATTTTTGTCCAAGTACGCTTCGATTTCTTGTGCACTTAAATTTCGACAGACGTTCAAAAGATAGAGAAGAATCATGCGTATGTA